TTCTGAGTAATTTCAAATAAATCAGCGTTGACTTTTTGGTTTTACATGGGACATGAACGCCGGGTGATGTCTTGTTTGACCCGTCCATCCACCCGTCCTACCTGGTCGCATTACGTGCCACCACCCTGGTCATGTCACTGTCTTGTTGACTTACTAACTGACTGGAGCGCCGACACATTTCCTGTAAAAGTAGCTGATTATAATGTTGTAAAATGAATTATACCGTGACTGACCGGTTGGATGAGTGGTTGATGTCTGTGTCACTGGTGACCTCAGTGACTCAATGGCTGACTGCCCTGGTAAGTGGACTGAATATGCTGACCATACCTGGTTGGCTGGACCGCTAGCCTGCCTTCCTGCCTGCTTGGCAGGTAATCTGGGAGGGATTGCGTGTAATCCCACCAATCTCTAAAGCGAAAATCATGGCATCATCATTACAACAGCTATGCATTAGAACATCTCTGATAATCCGTCCAGCTTCCTGCTTGTAGTCTCAGGCAAACATCAGCCTGGTTCTCTATACAATACTCAGAGCATTAATATAGCAGCAAACAACAATTTGCTATGTAAAGATGTAGTAATGTCTACTTTAGGGCAGGGAGATATGGAGAAAATCAAATATCACAATATATTTGAGCAAATACCTCAATATCAATATTGCAATGATATTGTCGTGTTGTACATTTTTGCTTTTACAAAATATTTACACAATGCGATTTTTGATAAATAATCATCAGTAATGTGGATATAATGACTAAGTGTGTAAATGCAAATAATAGTTCAACTAGAATAGTCTGGTAATTTCAGAATATGACATCACTTTACCGTAATGCAGCCTTTACAGTATATCCAGGAAAAGACAACACCTCTGTCATATCGCGATATCCAAAATCTGAGACAACATCAATATAATATTGATATATTGCCCAGCCCCATCTACCTGAGCTCTGCACTGCGATGATTACGATGATCGTTATCCGTCAATATTCAGTCAAATTGTGATCAGGACGACGGCATTCATGCTTTTATAGTCTCTGATCTCTGATAATGTTACATTGTAAATAACCAATCCGTGTGTAAATCAACATGAGAGCTAGTAACGTTAGCAGCACCGCTATTGAAGGTTCACTTCAGTTACATTATGATGCGTTCAAGATCTGTTCAGTGAAAATGAGAAGTGGGCAAAGATAAATTATAACGTTATCATTATATGTTCACATGTAATCTCGTAAAATGTAGTGTTTTTAAGAAACTTTAAAAAATCCAGTTGTTTGAAGGAGATGTTTTCAGATATTAGAGATGAATTATGAGCCGTTTACTCTAAGCAGCTTACTCTAAGCAGCTTATAATACATCATTAAAACAAGATTTGTTTTAATCAATAGAAATACAATATTGTATTTCTTGTATTCTTATCTTATCAATTGAATTGTTTGTTTTTCTGACGAAAAAAACACTATAAATGACTATAACAAAGTAAAAGCATAACATTTAGAATGTATTTCTATGGTTATTTGATGGTTTAACAGACTTCAGAGTCATTGAAATGATTTTTCGGACGGTGGCAAATTAAATAGTCTGGATCCTTGAAGACCAGCTGTATAATCAAACAATAAAGGGATCTGTATCTGACAACATGGATCATCAATAATTGGCAATTAGTATCGGCGGCAACAAAATGTGATCAGGGATCTCTAAAAGTTAGATTTGCTACCTTTTTTCTTTTGTGCTGATCTGTGATCCGATCCGTGACTGAGCCGTGATCTGATACAAACCGTGAGCTTTATGATCCGTTGCACCACTATTCACAAGCATAACCCAATACTGGGTGTCATCGCAAATACTGAAGCATTTCTAGCACGGTTACCATTATGATAACACAATGCAACTAGCATTTATTTTTATTCCTTCTTACTCATTCTAATAGTATTGTAAAATATTGTCTCCTCTTGCATCTTGCTATGTTGATGATAAAGGAAAGGAATTATTTTTCTTATTCTGCATGCATTTTAAGTCCCTCTGCATATCTGAACCTGCCACTGCAGATTAATTTATGGAAATTCTTTGTTCCCAAGTTCATTTATTACCACATCATTCTGTTGATAATACATCTCCCTCTCTCTTTCTTCTTCCGGCCTCTGTGTGTCATTTCTATTCTTGGCTGTGTGTCTTTCTGACACACCTGTCTATCACTATCTGTCACAAAGATATCTCCCATAAAATACATCGTGTTTGAGAGGGACTGCTGATCAAATCTGAGCAAGGAAGGGGGGAAACTCCCCAAGTTGAATGTTTGTGTGTTATGGAGTGGTTGTTGGAAATTATAAGCAACTATAATCTCTAGACTAAAAGATACAATTATTTCCCCACACAACAAAGCACTGGGACCGACAGGCCTTTCTCAAAGCAGACATTTTGACTTGTCACAGTAGGCAGAGCACAGGTGTTACTAATTACACTAACAAAGGCTCCGTTCCATTAAAGAGTCCCAGTCAGAGTGACAGAGTGAGCCAGCATGCACGTTACCAAGGGACCTGAAATCCAAGCAGCTGAATGGAATTCAGCCGTCATTCATTTCATCATGTACAGCTGTGTTTTGGCTACTGTGACAAGTCAAAATGTCTTCCATGAACAGGGCCTATCACAGCCTCTTGCTCAAGGACACTTGGATGTGCGGTAGGAGTAGCTGGGGATATGAACCGACAACCCTACTATTAGTAGCCAACATGTTCCACTACCTGCTACCATCTCCCCAAGAATATATTAACAGAAGTTACGAATGAATAGAAAGAATATTTCACCCAGGAGCTGTTTGTGTCCCATGTGAACCAAGTACTTTTCTTGCGTTTTTGTTTAGTTTCAATTTTGTAGCCATTTTAAGCCAAACCAGGATGTTTTTTTACCAAAGAGGATTGTTACCTAAACCTAACTCGGTAGTTTTGTAGTGTTAATTGTTGTTCTGTATCGAATTACAACATTAAACCCGTTTCAAACTGTAACCGCCTGTAACCTGGGAGAAAATATGTTTCCATCAGGACATAACTGAGAGAGCCGAGAAAAGAGTTTCCTAATTCTGTAGAAGACAAGGTTGACTATGTCTTATCGTAAATTTGATTTCCAAACGTCTAGTAGCGATTATGAAAAATAAATAACTTAAACTCAAGAGGATTTTTGAACGAATACAGTGTGACATATGGGTGACAGAAGCAGAGACAGCGGCAACACAAATAGACACACAAAGACCAACTGTCGGACCTCTTCAACCACGACAGGAGCCACCAGCAGATCCATCAACACCAAGCATTGTCCTCTGACCCACAAATTTCAAACTCTCCAAAGATATCATAACGTGTCAGAATAAAATGACTGTATAAGATGAGGCACAACACTCCAGAATATTTTTTTTTGTAACAGTGCAGCCATGTTTCTTAGGTTTAAACTTCACACAGCTTGAGTAGTAAATAGAGATGTACCAATCTGACTTTTTCAGTCTTGATACCGATCCCTGCGCTTTGGGTATCGGCTGATACCAGTGTTTGAATAATAAGACGTATGCCTCACTGTGTGGAAGTGACTGGGGTACATGTGTAAGGCAGCATCAGGGTGACTTAAACACTGCTTTGCTAACTTTGTAAAACAAAATGTAACAGATAAAGACAAAATAACAAATGCTTAGTCATTATGAAATATAATAAATTGTACATTGTAATTGGTAAAAACAATCTTCAAGATTAACAGGAATAACAATTCAAGTGATTTATAATGCCTCAACATAAACAGGAATTGAAATACTAGTTTGTATAAAAACATAGAACTGAATTGAATAGATCGGCCTATTGTCAACGATACCCGATCCAGCTATTTGAGTTAGTATCGGCCCCGATATCGGTATCGGTGCATCCCTATTCATAGAGTCTTGCAACAAGCAGCCACAGAACAGACACTGCATGTCTACTCATACTCTAGCACCACTTCTACTGTGAGGGGAGAATTAAGACGTCCCACACCAACAGCAGACCCGCGGCGCGTCCGTGCATGTGGCATCCAATCTATTAATGAGTTTATGGTGCATTAGTCATCCTCAAAACACCGCGCACTGAATTTCACAAGTGAAACCGACTAAAAAGAGCAAAATCAGAAGTAGCCGGAGAGAGAAAGACATGAGCATTGATAGAACAATGCGCACTAATCCACACTGAGACAGAGGATGCAGTGTGTGTGTTTGTGTGGGGGGGGGAGGGGGCGGTATTATTGTATAATGGCAGGCTTACTCCCTGTAGAACATCACAGACTCTTCCATAAACTGGTGCAAGGCTGTGTAACATCAGGAGAAAAAAAGGCCTTTAAAAAACAAGAAGGCACTGACTACTCTGGAGCTGCACCTGCTGCCTGTGAGAAAACTACCCTCCTGTAGTAGATGTTATAGAGCACAAATAGCACCAGAAAGCATCGTCTATAAGGGACTGTAGTCCCATATAAGACTATTAAAGTTAAAGAGGAAAAGCCTAAATTAGCATTGGAAGCAATGACGCTACTCTGCACTCATTAATGAAACCCAGGGAGTACGATGAGCTCGCGTAGGGATATCACAGGAGCATCTTTGGATTACTATAGCCTGGTGGTTTTTCAGCAGGAGGGGTGTAACATCCCGACTGCGGCACCACCATAACAAAGAGACCCGAACCCACGGAGCTCCGTGTGAGAGACAGAGGTCCCCCCTCACACGCCCACTATCCTCCACCGTTTTGACGGGGAAACACCTTACACCACAACGTCAAATTGTCCCGTCCGCAATAAAAATAAGCTAAATATAGGCCCATATCCATGCCGCAGCAGCGCGAGACCTATATAACGCAGTGAATATGACATGAATTTCATCGTTGACTCAGTAACGCGCGAGAGGATGGCGCAGCGCGAGGACACAGTAGGCTAAACGACGAAAAACAAGCAATGACACGTCATAAATCCCATTTAAATGTTAAAATAAGCCACTTTACTCACCGTTTCGATGTGTCCCGTTTTTGTCACAGAGTGCGTTCGTATCTGTGTGTGTGACAGTCAGCGCGCGTGAAGGTGAAAATCTCTCCACCTTTCGCTGCTTGCAGAGCAGACTGGTGCCAGAACTCAGATGCAAGCCCCGCCCTCTTCCCAGTCAGCTCAGCCAATCAGTAGCCCGGAGCAAAAGAAAAAAATAAACATTTTGATGTGAATCTGCAGGCATCAGGGATGCTGCTGCCTTCACAAGCTGCCCTAAATATGAAGCTGTGAATGGATTTGGTCATGGATTTGTAAGAAACAAATTAACACAGTTCATAGTAGTGAATCCAAGGAATTACATGTTATTTCCAAAATGGACTCTCAATGTTCAAAGTGCAAAACAGACAAATACATAAAAAAGTGAAGAAAAGCTATAATTGTTTTAACACAAATGTAGTACCCTAGTACAGACTAACTACTTAACTGGAAAGGTACACTCAGTAGAATGCAGATCTCTGCCAGGTGTGCTGTATTGTAAAAACAAATTTCCCCCTGGGGATGAATAAAGTATCTATGCAAATGAAAGTATCTTACTATAAAAATGCACAGTTACAGTGCAGTAGATAACCTATACATAAAGACGAGTAAATGCACAATAAATCAATAGGGGAGTCATGTAAGAAGGGACCTAAATAAAGAATGAACCGATATGCAAATTGAACAGAGTGAATGCAGCTGTGCCATTAATATCACTACAATATGTACAGTATGGACAGAACCAGTACAGGAGAATGAATGCTACAATACAAACAACAAGCAGGTATACAAATATGGTCATTGTAAATGAAGCCATTGTCTACAGTTGTCTACATATAGATAATTGAGACTAAAAGGTGCAATGTGTAAGATCAGGTCAAAATTTTAGTTGACAAAATGTATTAAATAAACTAGCATTATTAACAGAATATCAAAAGGCTACAGTGTTGACATCATGTCAAAGACATCTGTGTATTGTGTTGCAGAGACATTCTACTGAAATGAGCATGCTAACCAGCTAGCCCCGGCCGGTCCTGTCTTGTAATACCACTTGTACCTGTAGAGGCGATAGTGAGTCACTGAAGCATGCAGTCTGTCCTCAGTCCAACATGAGAGGACAAAGACGTAGAGCCGCCTAGAGAGCTCATCAGTCACATTGAATGTACAGTTTAGCAGTTTCGTTTTTTATTGGATTAAATCCAAAAGTGGCAGAAACAAGTAAACAACCCATATTTTCTGTTTCATTCTCCCCTCCACCAAAAGGCCAATTAGGATGATGATGGCAGGGAGGCAGCTCTGGAAGACCAACCTTAAGTCAGTGGCTAGCAACTAAAATTCAGCGAGCACAAACCCCAGTGCCGGGGGTCTGATCCTGCATGGCACACCCCACCGGTCATCTACATAGCTGCTACCTGACGGTCCGTCCCCTGGAGTCGCCACACGCTCTTCTCCCAGCAAAGTAGTCTCCTGGTGGAAGGGAGGACAAAACAAAAACTGGGGTTGTTTTTTTCTGTTTCTGCAACATTGGATTTAATCCACTGAACAAACTCTCAAAACCTATGGACCATACTGTCCCCAGATAGTGTCACAGTAAGCACTGAGATGTCTAATGTCAACTATAGGCTGATGCCTATGACACAAAAGTGGTATTTTGAAAGGCTTTCAGTTTTGGTCGAATTTTGTATAATCTAGCCGCTAACTGAAGGTATTTGTTTGGAGCATGTGACCAGTCATTACATGTTGCACCTTTAAGTAACAGTGCTAGTGTAAAAGTAGTGCGAAAAGCCGGATGTGAAAAAAGGTTGCGTGGTGCTGTTGCCAGGCTATGCTGGTAGTTTGTACACTGCATAACAAATCATTTTGTGGTGATATAATAGAAAATGATAACAACATGCACAAATATGTCATTCATACTGAGACTCAGGGATTTACTGTCACAAATAGCAAGCTCAAATGCTTTTCAAAAGATGTGTTACCTCGCTCTGAGCTGTTGTTGCAATAAAATCTGGAACATTCTTTTTGGGGTAGTTCCTTCTGCCGTGTGATATGCTGTGAAACAAACAACAGCACACACTTAAAAATCATAAGCAGCCGACGCATATGGAAGTTATCTTGATGTTCTTTTTCCTAGGGTAATTGTGCTTTACACTCAAAAACATAACTGGAATAAGTACATTTTGCAAATGGGATGAAGGACGTTGTTGTTGACGCATGTTGACCGAATGGTACATTGAATCAAGTGGTTCGGTCTGCTTGCATTCTTCTGTGATCATATAATGAATGTATGTGTGGGTGGGGAACACACTGAAACCCAAAAAATAACAAAAAACTATTATTGTGTATATGATGAGTCTGTTCTTTCACTTAATCATTTTGTATTTAAAGTATATTTGTTTATGGGACAAATGTATAGCATGAAACATCATCATATATATCACATCTATAGCTTATTTGAAATGCCCATCCATAAATGGGCCTTCAAAATAATAACACAAACTGACATGATCATTGATCTTTTTTTAAAATCAGAACTCATAGTTGTGAATAACTGAACCTCTTCCAGTGATCAGTTTGTAGCTTCGTAGCGTATTCACGGGACAAAGTGACCGCCGGTGCAGCTGGTTGGTTGACTGACTGGACTGTATCAGAGTTGCAGGCTGATGGAGCTAGCTAGCCAGATGACTGACTGGCTGTGGGGAAGGCAGAGGTTTCTATAGGATTATCTGGGATTAGGGCTCCCATTTGATTTGGTGGGTTTGTTTGTAATCCCTCCAACATCACATACTGTCCACAGTACACAAGCACAGCAGCAACAAATGCAACAAATTCATCCTCTCCATGCAACAGCTGATTGCATTTTATTATATTTTTATCATGAAAATCATCAATCCCTACAGTAATGACTAACTCCAAACTCATTTGATCGGTGGTAATTTCAACATTCACCTTACCAACTGTTCTTATCCTCTTAGCCAGGACTTCTCAGCACATATGCCTCTGGTCTGTATGAATCTGTCCATCACGGTGCACCACAATGTCCCAACCTTATCTGAACATAACTCATCAAATTAAAAAAAAATGTAATTGAGGTAAATCAAAGTGTATGGTATCGTAGAGCTGATTAGTGGAATGAGGGGCAGGTGGCAGTAAGCCACGACTTGCTTTGTACTCTCTCCATGTGCTACCAATGCAGTAGTTTAATATCCGATTCTGAAAATCAGGTTGTAAGATACAGTAGCTATACAAGTCATATGAATGATCAACATTAACTGCAATCTGTGGTGTGATTTAGATTTAGGTGACCATATTTCCGATGCCCCAAGCCAGAACCCTGAAGGCCTTTACACAAATAAATGACACAAAAATGATAAATACTCGCCTGCAAATATTTTGCATCAAAACTGTTCATACCAGCAGAGGTACAAATTTGCGACATTTTGTTTAGTGTTCTTTTAGCAAAATGCTCTGAGTGAATTTGAGTTCCATCTGGTAAACAGTTACGCAGTGTAAATGTCCATGGCTTTTATTGTGAAAGCTTAGAACGGAAGAAGTGGACCTGGTCTGTGCTGCCGTTGTCTTCTTGGCTTCTTGGTTCAGACTACAGAGCCTCCGTTTTGTTGCACACTATAGCGTATGTTTGGATTATTTGCGTTCTGCACAGCGTGATTAAAGCTCCGGAAAAAAAAACAATGCCGATGCTTCTTTGCAGCATAAACTTTTTTTAAATGTATTATTATACTATATTCATCTCTGGATTTGACCCATCCCTATATATAGGGAGCAGTGGGCTGCCCGGGGAGCCGTTAGGGGTACAGTGTCTTGCTCAAGGACACTTCGACACAGGACACGTCCCAGCCAAGGATCAAACCGACGACCTTCCGGTTATCAGACAACCCTCTTGGCCTAGTGAGCCACGGTTGCCCCTTTTTGTGTGAAAGTCCTCATGACAATTTCATAAAAACAAATTGACATGCCATTGATGTGCAAATTAATAAAGCCACAAGTGTCATAGCAACATCCTTGACATCGACACATCAATTGATTGACACACATACACAGACAAATCAGTGCTGATTTCAGACACGTGGTGCATTGTTTATGTTTTTATATCCAGGTTAGGTAATAGTGTGAGTGGAACACAACATGACTCACAATGTAAGCACTCAAAACAAGTATAATATTGTATTGTTATTTTAATTGATGTGAAAACAGGGACAATTTGCTAGGAAATGTTGAAAACTGGAACATTTTTGAGTGTTTTACAGATATTTGTCGGGACTTAGGACACTTGGCTTGAACCGGAACAATCCCGGACAAACCAGGACGTATGTTCACCCTAAGCTAGCTGTGGTTTCGTCAGCTAGCAGAACTTATTTTGCTGAAAACAGCTGCTGCTGGAAAAAAGGCTGAGATGAGAGCCGTGAGAGTGAAGCAGGACAGACGTTGTGAGACTTCGACAAGCTGAAAGAGGCTCAGAGGCACCGCAGAGCCAAGGGGACCTGAATACAACTCAACCGTTGTTCATATGAAGACTGATTTGTGTAGGTTTCATATCGCAAAGTAGTAAAGAGGAGCGTGGAATAGCTCATTTTGAGTTCTGGTGTTCAAGATATCAATGAATATTTCTTCTAATATAGTATTGATTGCCATTTTTGACTTCATCGGTTTCCTTTGATGAAGTTTTCATGAATCTCAGGTGACTTTCAGGTAAAATAAAGACTCTAAAATCAACCCTCTGGACTTATGAACTGTAATTGAACCAAGGCCTGTTGGAAACTGCGTATTCATTCATCTCGGCTGCTCTCTAAACTGAAACCGTGACCGAGTTCCTCTCCTCAGCTCTCGATGTTTCAAACCAGAGGGCGTGGCCATCATCTTCATCAGGTCCATGCAGAGGAGGAGTCGGGGTTGGCTTCTCTTCATTCATAGACTGTGTCTCCACCTGTCCTCTCATCCATTTATCCTCCCGTCCACCCTCCTTCTGTTCTCTCCCTCCTTCTCTCCTGGTTTGACAGTGTTATGTAATATCCTGCCTGCATCATCTCCACTCTCTCTCTTTCTTTCATCAGTATCTTTGTTCCTGTCTCACCCAAACTCAGTCCGTCACAGCA